GTAGTAACGAATTGAAAATGCCCAGCTTCGTTCAAGTCTGAGAAACGTGGGAAACCACTCACCAAAAACAGAGTATTACTTTCTTGGGGCGGCCCGACCGAGTGCTCTCCATTCTCTCGCCACTTCAGAACATAGTCAAGATCTGTTAAGCATTTTCCTGGCTTCCTCCAGAGCACGCATTTTCTATTCCCTTTGCCAGATCTTGTGAAGTCAAAAGACAATTAAAACACCAGGAAAAGTTTATTTGAATACTTAGATGGATAGATTCACTTTCAAGCAATAGCTTCACCGGCAACGGACTTGATCACTAGAGTCACGTCCAGATGAGATTCCCCAATCCTTGTCGCCGTCGCCTGGAACCGGCTATCAAACACGGTTCTTTTCCATTCCCCCATTCCAGCGTAAACAACGTCCCAGTAGACATACAAGACCCTCTGACCATCGCTCGAGTAAACATCAAACGAGCCCTCGGTACCAGTGGGAGACCAGCTCCTCCCACTCGCAGTGATGTGGTACTCGCCCCACGCTGTCATGGTGAGACCATTGGGAGATCCAATCTCCGTGAAATCGTTCTTTCCACGTACCCATTTCCCATATCCAAGCCACGAGTTTGTGACGTAGAGCGTCAAGGGACCTTCGGTGTAGTAGATTACCAGTGCAAAGTAATTGTCCTCGCCCTTGAGCTTGGAATGAGAATCTCCTGTTGGAAAAACCACCAAAAGCAAATGTTACATTTCAGATCTAACAGAAGGAGAATAAATGAACCAGTAGCATTGTTAAGATGTGTAGCAACTGGAGGAAGTTCACGAGCAAGAAGGGGAGCAACCAAGAAGGAAAAGAACGCTACAAGAGCTCCAAGCTTTGCCATGGCTTGCATCTCCAAAAGTGATGAGAGCTCTTATTTATGCTTTTGGCAACTCTCAGCTAGTTTGTTTTTATGTGAAGGATAATAAAGGTGGGATGGTTTTATCACCGACAATTTAAGTTTATTAAGTAAGGTCTTTTAAACTTAACTTGGACTGAAATTTGTGTAATATTGAAAATAATATATTGCAAGTGCATGGAATATGGAAATTGAATATAGAAAATGTGCATATTAATTAGCCCAAAAGCCCTAATTTATATACAGAAGTGAATGGTCTGCATTAAAACTAATCTTATAGCTACCAAAATCCCATTATGCTAATATTAATATATAGTATTGTAACCACACATCACATCACATCACATTGTCACATCACATCATCTTTCTTCTTGGAATAATAAAAGATTATCGAGGTTCTCTCGTAAATGGGCCGAGATCTAGAAGAACATTAGAAAGAGGCATCAGTGAATTTATAGGTGGTATCAATTGTTTTGATCCATTTATATAAAGTGTTTTAACCGTTGCACATGCAGAACTTTTAGAGGATCGGCCTATTGAATGTTATGGCAAACCTCATAAACTTGTGGTTAAACTTGTTGCAACCTGATATAATTCTTTCCATTGAGCAAGGAACCTCTTAAATAAACCTTGTACCCAAAACAAACTAACATTAAGTCATCCACTTTATACTCTATATATAGGTAGACGATGATGGGAGTTGTAGTGCTATTGTTATCCCACTTGTATGCAGCCTAGGTGTTTGGCAGACTTTGCTCAGACAAGTGGAAAAATGCTCATTAAATACTAATCCCACGACTTGGCATCAGCAGCTTGTGGCAATTGTCAAAGTAAATATAGCTCTGTTAGTAATATTGGATCATGACTATATAAGAGTTTACATGGTGAAACACTAATAGAACTTTACACCCCTGTGACATATGCATACCAAAAAGATAATAAATAACTATCCCAATTTAAATGTTGAAAGTTTACATACTTTGCAATTATTCCTTTGAATGTCCAAATGAGCTATTCCACCAAATTGTCTAACTTTAGATGATAAACACTCATGAAAGTGTGCCGTATCCCTAACCAAGACATTAAAACACAAAATGCCTCAGCCATAAAATATAGGACTATTATCTGAAAAAATCTGTTTCGGACAAGAATGTTGAAATACCACTCGATTGAGGAGGAAGTATCCAACAACAATTGCAAATATACTAGCAAGAGCACCAAGTTCCACCTAACGAGTCAAATAGTCAAAAGCAATAATAACATACTTATTGCCAACGAAAAAAATCCCATAAGATCAAATGCCACCAACTCAAACGGATGGGAAATTGCAATTGACTCCAACCGTCCTTTTGAAACACGAGGGGGAGTATTACAAATTTGGCATCAAACACAACTACACATATACTAAATAGCATTATGTCACATCTTTAGGCAATAGAAAGACAATGATGGTGTATCAAGAGTCCTTAGGAACAAGCTGTAAACACTCAAGGTAAACCTAAGTCCTTAATAAGACCAAAATGAGGATTGTTGGATTATTGGATGAGCTATAATGTTTGTTAGATTGTTGGATGGCTATAATGTTTGTATTAAATTGTTAATGGCTATTTAATGTTTGTTGGATTGTTGGATGGCTATAACATTTGTATTAAATTACAATTGAAAATTAAGTTAACTTGCCAACTCAAATTTTCAACTTGTGAACTGAAGAATGGTTTATACTTAACTAGGGTATGCATTGACATGATCTTCCCATCATTGATATGCCCTTCTATCTACTACATATAGCTTCCATATGCCCACTCTTTTATGCATGGCTCCTACCCACCCACTCAATTGTCTATAACTTTTACCTACACTCCCACCCACCCACTCGCTTCCATCCCTGCCTATGCCCTAGCGTGTGCCCTAATTATTTTCCATGTGGCCAAAGGCTCAACACTTAGCCAGCCAACTATAGGGAATACACTAAGAGTTTTTACAAAATTTTGGATTTTGTGTTTATAGGGGGTAAATATCTTTTCTACTTTATAAGAGGTTTTTTATTATACTCTATATTGGAATTTCCTGCTAATTATTTAATTTTTATGTTGAACTCTATATGAATTATTATTGTGAAACTTTGAATCATGGATTACTTTTTTCAAATTTTTTTGTATTAACATTATTTATTGCTGCTGAATTATTTTTTAATTCCTATTTTTGTCAAATGTTTGGATACATTTTAGTTTTTTGTTGTTATTCCTAATTAAGAGTGCAATGTGTTTATTTAGAATGATTGTTTATGCAAGTGGTAATGAATATACTTAGAATATACTTGGATATTCTGGCATTTAATATTTAATTATACTAATCTACTGTAAATTATACACATATTTGTAATTTATAAAGTTTCTTAAACACCTTTGAGTATATTCTAACTTATTCTATAATATTGTTAATATGCAATTAAATTAATCCTTTTTTGTAAATTATAAATACATTTATAGTTTATAAGCTTTCTTTTAATTCTTCTTAATATTTTTCTCTAGCTTCAATATTTCAGGCATTTTTGTCATGATTTTCAACAGTTATATTAGTGATTCTGTGGGAGCTTTTGTGGCAAACAGTTTATAATTGCCCAATAGAACTTTCAAATGTTCTACTTGATTTATCATTATCATATTTTCATCTTCCAAAGAGGAGGATGATATAAATTCTGTAAATACATTTGCTCCCTTCTTAGGTAATACATTAGTATACTAATATAGCATATAAATTGTCCATTTGGGACTAAATTTAGTTTATCCATTATTATATTTAAGTAGAGGTTTAAACCCCAATTAATATACTTATTCTCGTATCCTTAGTTATAATGATGAGATATTTTAATTTATTATACAAAAATATTCTTAGCATATCTAAAGAATGTATATATTCTAACAGAATATTCTTTAGTCACACACTGGTTATGAAGTATAATGAGACAGGATCCACATGTCTATCACCGTGTTCCTACACCATGTGGGAGTCACTGGGTGGAAATCAGTTCTCATGACCTTCAACAATGCCTTCTATGCACCTCCAGCCAAGTATCTCTATCATGTTGCATAGCCTTCCAACCTGTGCAGGCTCAACTCCATGGGACCCCTTGGGCCAAGAGGGATCTCCCTAGTCTCCTGGAAAATCAGGCTGCTTTGCACCACTTGGCTATCTACCTGCATAGAATGGAGGACATTCGGGCAGCTCAAGCACAAGAGAGTGTAGGGAGTATCCCTCTTGTTCCAAGTGGTCTTATGCCTAACAAGCCCCAGAAACGACGAGTGTGTGGTACTGGGAAATTTGGCCAAGTGATTGTTTGAATCAGTTGTGAGGACAATGGTGTTCTAGGATCTCGTGCTACCGTGCTACTGGGCTCCAACGTTAAATGCCCGGGTGAGTATTTTGGGAGGATTCAGTGGCTTTAGTGACTGGCAAGCTTTGGCAAGCCTTTTCTATGAGCCATGATGCCGGGAATGAAGAATGCAATAAGGAGCTCGATTGATTGTGCCCGACATAAAGTTTATTTTATTTTATTTTTAGATGGAACACAAAATATCTTCTGTGGCCGTTCCAGGCCATCAAATTTCAAATGAGCCCTTGGTGGGGTGATGTGATATTCACCCCACGGACCATCTGGAGATCTCGCGAAATCGCTCGTGGAACGGACATTTCCCCCAGCTTAAGCGACAAGTTTGTGACTTGGAGCTTCTTGAGCTTGGAATAAAATCACCAAAAGCAAACGTTATATTTCAAGAATCAGCTCATTGAGGAGAAATGGATGAACCAGTGCATTGTTGATGGATGGGTTCACCACCCAAGGAAAGAGCAACCAAGACGAAGGAGACTTCAAGAGCTTGGTTCTGGATCTTTTTGGTTTTTTTTTGTTGTGTGTGTGTAAAACATTTCCTCCTCAGCCCTTCTTCGCATTAATAAAAAAACAAACAAAGCCAAAAAAGAGCTCCAAGCTTTGCCATGTCGTGCCATTTCGTTTTGACTTCAGTAAACCTGATAAACGACTAATTAATACAAAGCTATAAACTTTAAATTTTAAATTCAAACAAAAAATTCAGAAAAAAAAAAACTACATGCACTGGTTGCCATTCATTTTCTCACGAATTCGAATCCAGCTGATCAGAATGTCTTGTTCCTGCTCTTTGACGAGCCATGGAGAATCAAGCGTCGCGGCTAGTACCACCACCAAATTCTTGCACAAGAGTTCTTCCACCACAAAATCTGGATGGACTCGCTTGAAATCGCCCAGAAAATCAGGTTTGTCCTCGACGTGCTCGACACGCGGGAGGGTCGTGTGCGACATCTCCGATTACATTGGCGGGGATTTGCTGCGCTTCGACAGGGGCAAATTCTACAAAGATGTGGAGAAATTCGGCTCCATTGCCATCTATCCTCCTCCAGAGGGAGGCTACGAAGGGAGGTACGCAAACAAGCTCCAAATGGAAGGCTACCATATCATGGCCATGAGCGCCAAGGGATTGGGAGACCTCGAATCTTATCTCACCAAAGTTCATGGAGTTCGCCCAGTAAGTTAGAATTTAATGTAGAAGTTGTTCTTTTCTTATGTATGTTTTTTTTTTAGCCTCATCTGGGGAAGCAAGCGATTTCAGTGTGGTATTTCCCTCCCGAGATCGATTATAGATTGTCTATGCTTCCAGAAGATTGCAAGGGCCTCGTTCTATGGCTTCTCGAATGCGAGGTAAACAAACAAACAAAAAAAAAAAAAACAAGAGTGGATTCTTAGCTCTAGATACTTTTTGGAATTTGTGCTTGTTTCTTAGGTGCTGTCCAAGGCAGAGCTCCAGTTTCTAACTTTGTTGCCTGCGCTACGCCCCAAAGTCCGGGTCATTGCCGAGTGTGGAGGATGGTAACTTGGATAGAATCGATCTGGATCAAATCTAAGTGATGCTAAACTTGCTTTTCCACAGGCGAAAGTTTGTGTGGACACCTCTCAAGAACATTGCCGGGACATCGGTTCCAGACGAATCCCAAGTTTCCAAAGAGATAAGCAAGCCTTTGGTGCTCGTCCCAGAGCAAGGGAAGGATTTGGTCGTTCCAGATCCCTCCAGATCATCGCCCGAAGCATCAGCACAAGAGCAACAAGAAGCGAACACCCTCTCATCTTGATCATCTCGAGATCTTCCAAGTTTCAAGAAACTCGTCTTCCCCGTACAAACTTAGACTGGATTCGATGATCGCGACAAAATGCGGATTAGAAGGATCAAACTGTGTGTTCTCCTCATGTCAATCATTGACGGTATAGTCCAAATTATGGAAACAGTTGTCTCCATTCCACCGTCCAAGCAAGAGCCCTAACCTTGAAAAGGTGACAAAGCGTAAATCTAAGGAATCTCAGCGACATGCTTCCATGTTTTGTGGCGCATTGCGCGGGCCAAGACGTGCCCGACCCGTCGGTCCGGTTGGTTGGTTGGCCATGCATGACATTCGGACATTGGTGGCACGAACAAAAATTTAACATGCCACGCTTCTCTTGGCGTTTGTAACCATTGTTCCATTTTTCTAAGTTGATCAAATCCAAGCTTGGTTTGTTTGTATGTTTCAAGTTGACCTAACATCTTGATCTAGATCCCAAAGGATTGAGGGGTGCATTGCATCTAACCCATAGTTTTATCGATTTGATCCAGCGCTTTGGAACGGGATGGTTATTCTCTTGGCAGAAGACAATGTCACAAATTAGCTGGTCTCACGTTTCCAAAGGGTTTGTTTTGTGTGCTTGGAATTAAACAAATTTGAGCGCGAATGATTGTAGCTTTGAATGCAAGCTAGATCGATCCATTCACACTACTCGAGTTTTAAAATTTTCGTGGCAAAGGTGTGAGGGCACGACGAAATATCCCACAACTACGTGGGAGAGCCGTAATTGATCTTTACCTGTTTGAAAATCTCACGAGAAATTTCAATGTGGGAGGGAGGGAATGAAAACCATGACACACATGGTTTTGCGGGGGCAAAATTTATGGGAAGTTGACGGACGAGACGGGGAATTATAAGTGTACGGACGGGTTCCACTCCGGTGGGGGTTTCTTTTTGGTTTCTCTTGTCCTTTGGTTTGGGCCACACTGGTCATTTCGGCGAGCCCTAAAACCGGGGTTCTTCTACTACAGGCATTACGCACGGTGGCGCTGGCAGCCCAGCGCTTCGATCCACGCGCGGCGCCCGCGCTTCGATTCCTCCAGTTTGATGCGGTTTCCTCGCTCTCCTGCGCGCCTTGGATGATATTTCGATCAGTCGGCCATCCGATTCCTCCATCTCCCCGGTCCGGATTTCGCGATCCGCTCGCCGTGGATGTGAATTCCTCCTCCTCTCGGGCTCCTCTCTCCTGTGGCGGAGCTTGGAATTCGTCGGGATCGGCGGATCGCAGGGATTTTCTTTCCACCGCTTCCAAGAAAGTGGAATATTTCCCAAGATATGGATTCTTCGACGGCGGCGGCGGCGGTGTCATCGATCCTGCCGGGCGCAGGATCCAGTGTGGGAGTGACAGTTGCAGGATCGCCCACGGCGGAGGAGGATTCTTCTTCTTCCAGGAAGAATTCCAGGAGCAGTAGCGGCGGCGGATCCAAGCAGCAGCAAAAGAAGAAATTCGTGGGTGTGAGGCAGAGGCCGTCGGGGCGATGGGTAGCGGAGATCAAAGATTCGACGCAGAAGCTCCGGCTGTGGCTGGGCACTTTCGACAATGCCGAGGACGCCGCGCGGGCATACGACGACGCCGCGAGAGCTCTCCGCGGCGCCAACACCCGGACCAATTTCAAGCTGCCAGGGAACGCTAGCGGACGATTCTCCAAGGCGACGCGGATGCTCCTCCAGCGCGTCGCGATGAGATCGTCTGGCAGCGAGGCTCTCAAGGAGAATCAAGCCTTGATCGCCAGCGACAACAACAATCCAGGAGCCGTGGCAGTAGCGGGGGCATTTCCCCATGGCCTGTATCATGCCGCTGGTGGATCTTCTTCGGACTCTTCGCCCATGCAGAGCTTCTCTTCGCAGCAAGTCCCCGGCAAAGACAAGCTCGCCGCTGTAGATCCAGGCAAGTCCATAGCTCCTCGCGCTCTCCAGCAGCACCAATTCTACGGCACCTCTCCCTTCGGTGGTGGATTCCAATCGCCAGCGCTCGCCACCCAACAGCAAATCCACAGCAAGAGCGTCTATGGGGCGTTCATAGAGAAGCTTGGCAAGGTGCCAAGACCACCACCGCCACCTCCTGCCAAGCACGATCTTCCATACGTGAATGGCTACCACGGGCCACTTATGTCCGAGAACGAACGCGCTCCTCAAGAGACGACGATGATGATGGAGTTCCAAGACGATCAAGGTGGTAGCGGCGGCGAGGACTACATTTTCAAGTCCTACTCCGCCACGTCCTCGCGCTTCATGTCTCCCTCGATCCGGGTACCTCCCTCCGACAGATACAAAGTGGCCCCGTCCATTCACGTCTACAACACGGCGGCGCAAGCGGCGGCGGCGGCCGCTGCCGACCTGTCCGACTCCGACGCTCTCATCCAGGCTCCAAACATCCGCGGGAGCGAATCGCCCATCATTCTCAACAAGGACGATCCGATGGTCTCGGCGGTCCCAGCGGCGGCGATGGCGATCAGCTCCTGCGACTCAGTCTCTCCCGGCCCCTCGACGCCCAGCGGCGAGGAGGAGGAATCGTCCAGCTTCTGGAGCTACTTCGACCAGGCGCTGTGTGCCGTGACTTGAAAGCGAGGCAGGGCGAGAGCTTTCCGGTTGCGGCCAGCGCACACGAAAGAGGTAACGCGATCGTGCGCGATTTTTATACCACCACTCACTCGCTGGCTCACTCATTTCTCGGCGATCGCAGAGATAGGCAGACATGGAAAGGGAGGAAGTCCTCCAATCTAAATGCCGCGCGCGAGGCAGGCACCCACCAGCACTAGCAGCACTGACCCAGGAGAAGAGGAGGCTTCATTCATGTCGTGCATTCATTCTTCCAGAGACGATCTCGCGAAGCTGTAATTATACCGGCGTGTACAATCCGTTTTGCTTTTCATGTTCCAGTCCAATAAGTAAACACGAGGTTTGCTCATACTTCGCTACAGAGAAAGAAAATCGAACAAAAGTACCTAGTGCCAACTCTTTTTTGTCAGTTCTCTTGATCAAACCAAATCAATCAATCTCGACCCAAATCGAGTTCTTTCCATGCGAAACAAAAGGATGAAATAATGGGTGAAGCTTGTTGGAGCACACACCAAAAAAATCTCTGGCTTTTACTCTTCTCTTCGCTGGGTCTTGTAAGGAATCAGGTAATGGTACACGCCCCTCTTCTCCTTGTTGTTCTTCATCAGAGATCCCACCGCTTCTTTATTCTAAAGAGGAGCACTGCCTCCTGGAGATTGTTCTGCGGCAGCTGGAGCATCACCTGGAGCTTGCATTTCTTGGGGGCGGACTTGGCACCTTCGTCTTCCTTGCCAACCTGCGACGCACAAGAAGAGAAAGAACCGCTCTGTTAAAGAGTTTTCCCGTCCAGATAGAATAAGGAAAGCGAAAACGAGAGCTCACCCACGCTGACGCCCAGCTCACTCCCACGTCCGAATCGTATCCCATCTTTATCTTGAAGTTCTCCGTTGCCTTGTGCTTGAATATGGCGCTCCACGCCTCGTTGTTGAAATTGTACATGTAGCTGCCATACGAAAGATTCAATGTAGCTTCCAAACTGCTTGAACTCTAAGCAGGAACCTTAGCTTGTTTGCTTCATCAAACTGCCGCTTGAAAGACACTGCTAGCGCCTGTGACGGCCATGATATCGTGGGGCACAGCGTCATCTCCTCATCCTGCCATGAGATCACAAACGTCGCAGTCAAGAGAAAAAAAGTGGGAGGAGATTTGCTTACTTTGAACTTGTATTTGAGGGAGGCATTCTCTTCCTTGTAATCCGCAACGAAGACACCGCTCCCAAGTGACGCACCAACGAAGCCGCTGATAGATAAGGCCCGTGCTTCGTTCTTCATCTCGTCTTCCAGTTTGATCTCGCCATTGGGAAACGTGAAGCTTAGTCTCGGCTGACAAAGAAAAGAAGAATAAGTACTTGGAATTGTCAATGCCAGTAGTTCTTCCGAGTTGCGAGAGCTTACCCGGGATGTGGGGGGAGTTTCGGTAGCAATCTCGGCCTTGTATCTCGAGTCCTTAGTCGTTGCGATAATTCTCAGCTCGCCTTCTTGCGCCTGGAACTCTTTCGTCAATCTCAAGGCATGGCACGATCGAACAGACCTTGACGTCCTGCATGTACTTTGCTTGCACATATCGGCCCAAGTTTGCAGACATTGTGACGAGCGCATTCTTTTCTTCGTAGTCGTAGAGCACGGAGAGATACTTGGTCACCAGCCCGAGCAAAGGATACCGGAATTCTCCCGACGGGTCTCTCTGGAACGAGGCCTTCAACTTTGCCATGCCATTAAGCATGCGAGCCGTGACTTTGTTCACCACGACGCTCGCCTCACTGTCATACTCGGATGACACTTTCATGGCCATGATCCTCCGCCAGTCATCCACGTCTTTGGACGCTTGCAAATCCATCTTTGGGTGTGGCTGCAAGGACAACAAGATAACAATGCTGATAAGAAACTGAAAGAACAAAGGAGAAAATGACGAAATTCCATCCCAACACGCCAAGAACCAAGCGATGGCCAAGAAATCCACAAGAAAATGCCAGACAAAGCCCTAGATCTACCAGCATTGCGAGATTGGCGAGCAAGGAGGAGCGAAATCACTTACACGGGGCTACCGATTTGGCGGAAAAGAAAACCCTGGCAGCTAAGATTAGTCCCGGCGCCCAAGAAACCGGGAGAGATCGCCTCGCCGCGGCGCCAGGATCCGCGCCATCGCCAATGCCGCGGCAGCTCACGATGGAAGGCGCGCTCCACAAAACCCCAGAAAAATCAATCCACGCCCTTCCTCCTTGTCCTCATCAAACCTAAAGTCCCTCTCTTCTTTGAGCTCGTGGAATACAGAGGGGAAAATTCAAACTTTTTCCTCCCTATATTTTAGAGTTTAGCCTTTTTCGCATTTTCTTTTTGTTTTTCCGAATAATGACAACCACAACCAAAAGGATACATGGAATATTCATATAATTTACAAAATTAAAGGTGGTGTTGATTTATAAACCCTAGGATTCATCGTCCCAGAGATCTTGGAGGGTTTTGTAAGGGCCATTGGTGGCATTGCAAAAGAACCAGCACGTATTCGTTCGCCGCTGGCTGATCTCCTGGAGATCCCGCATGTGTTGCTCACTCAAATCCCACCCAAACACGTCAAAGTTCTCCTCAATCCGCGAGGGATTAAAACTCTTGGGAAGAACACTCGCCCCATTCTGGACCCCCCATCGCAGAGCAACCTGGGAAAAAAATTTAAGGAATCCTGGAACTTAGCAGAGGATGGAAGTTTTTGGGCTTGTCCTGTCTTTGCTTCGGATTCTGGAAAGAAAAGTTTGATTTTTCTTTCTTACCTGGGCTGGAGTTTTGCCGAGCTTGAAAGCTATAGCATTGATCACAGGGTGTTGAATCACTTCTGTGGTGCCGTAGTACGTGCCTGGCGCAGCAAGGGGTGACCATGCACTGACGTGAATCCCCTTGGAGCTGCAAAATTCACGAAGATGTCGCTGCTGCCAAACCGGATGCATCTCCACCTTGACAAGCAACGGTCGTCATTTCTTTTAACACACAAACAATCAAGACAAAGTTCTATTTTCTTCTTCTTTCCTTGTGAAAAGAGAATCAAGAGAAAGAAGAACTAAAGAGGATACTAAAGAGAATTAAAAGAAGAACCATCAAGAGAATAAGAATTATAAAGGATAAGAGAAAAACTTACTTGATCCACTGCAGGGGTGATTGTGGCGTAGCTGAGCAAATCGGTGAGCTTCTTGATGGAGAAGTTGCTGACACCGATCGATTTGGCGAGGCCCAGGCCGATGCATTTCTCCATCTCACGCCAGGTGCTCTGGATGTCCACCGGGAGGATCTCCTCCTCCTTTGGCGGGAGCTTAGTGCCCTTCTTGAGCTTCACCGGGAAATGCATCAGGTAGAGGTCCAAGTGATCCAACTGGAGCTTCCTAGATCAATGTGATTATATCGAATCTCTCTCTCTTTTCTATACAAGCAAGAAAAAAAAAAAGGACGAACTGTTACAAGCATGATTTTATACATACTTTAAGCTCCGTTGCAACGCAGGGATCACATCCTCAGGGTCGTGATCGTCGCACCATAGCTTGGATGTGATAAACATCTCCTCTCTCTTGACGATGCCACTGCCAAAAGCTCTTGACAGCGCATCACCAATCGCTGGCTCACTCCCATAAGAGCTCGCCGTGTCGATATGACGATAGCCAATCTGGAAAAAATCCACAAAACAAAACAAAGGATTCACAGTGGAAGACACAATGAGCAAGAGAAAGAGAAACACCTTGATTGCATGAAGCATAGCATCAGTGATCACATTCCGGGGCACGGCGAATCCAACGCTGCCGAGGCCGAGTGCTGGGATTGAATCCCCGGAATTAAGAAGGTAACGCAGGGGTTTGGATTGAGTCGGCATTGCCTCGCCTGAAAGAAGAAAGACAAGGAAAGGATTTGGCGAGGAGACTGGAAAAAGAAGGATCTATGAGCGAAATAGCAAGTGGAAGAACAGCTGATTTCTCGATATTTTCTCTTTTCTCCCACACTCTGTTTTTAGTTGGGTTTCTTTTTCCTTCCTCCTCCTTCCATTCGCTCCTTCTACTGTCCAAATCAATCCACAGGGAAAGTACTGGAATATGAATGAATTGGCAGCCAATCCGGGGGATTTGACTCCATGTCTGTGCTGGCGCTCTCGTTTTCATATTTAAGAAGGCACCATCAGCACAAACAAAGCTCATGTATGGCATACTTACAACAGTGGCAAAAAATTTGATCCTGGGATCGGATCCAGGATCGGAGCGCCAGATGCAGCCAATTTGCCAACTCACTTGAAAGTCAGTGGACGAATCAAAGCCTTTTCTCCCACCATTGTCTATTTTGGTTTATCTTCAATGGTCATGGGAATCAAAGATTTGGGGCTTTTGGATTGTTCTGCAAAAAATTCTCCACTTTTCCACTGCTTAGCTGGAAAATGATTTGCATATGCGAGACTTGCTCAGCCGGATACGCGTGTTTGCAGCACAGAGGGATTTGTCACAGGCAAAACATCTCTACTCCCTTCTCCAACAAAACAGATACTGTCTGGACAAGCTCACCACGAATCAGCTCATGAGAATGTTTGGCAAGTGCGGGAGCGTCGAGGATGCCCGCAAATTGTTTGATCAGATTGACAACCCCGACACAGTGCAATGGAACATCATTGTTACTGCATATGCCCAAAACGGGCATTTTCAGAACGCAAAGTCGATGTTTGATTCAAGCCCACAGCGTGATATGGTTTCTTGGAACACAATGTGTCAGAGTTTTTCGTGGAGTCACAAAGTTGATGAAGTGTCTCAATGCTTGCAAAAGATGCCACAGCACAATGTAGTCTCGTGGAACAGCCTGCTTTGCACATTTGCCCAGAACGGGCATTATCCGAAAGCGCAGGCATTGTTCGTGGCAATGCCTGAAAAAGACGTGATTTCTTGGAACATTGTCATCTCCCAGTACGCGGAGATCGATCTAGATCGAGCAAAGTTGCTGTTTGATCGTGCTCCCCAGCACAGCGTCGTGACTTGGAATGTTTTGATTGCGCATCACTGTGAAGAATCGAAGAGGGTGTTTGATGCGATGCCTTGCCGAGATATAGTCTCGTGGAACAGTCTCTTAGACGTGGATCAGGACCAAGAAATCTTTTCTAAGATGCCCTCGCACGACGCAATCTCGTGGATCACAGTCATTGCAGCAAATGCCCGTGAGGGGCATCTGGATTGTGCCATGGATCTCTTCGATCGCTCGCCAAGCCGATCGCTGGCGCTGTGGAACGTCATCCTCTCCGGATTCGCGAGCTCCGGGGACGTGAATCGAGCTCGATCGATCCTCTCTTCCATGCCCCGAACGGATGTGATCTCGTGGAACTCGCTCCTCGCGGGACTGCTCGAGTTTTCTTCTCTCCGCGACGCAGGCGAGCTCTTCGCAGCGATGCCGCACAGAAATCTCTCGTCGTGGACGCTGCTCGTGGGCGGATACGCGCAGCACTGCGAAACGCCCCGCCAGGCCGCCGCGATCTTGCTGGAATCGATGCCGCAGTGGGACCTTGTGCCATGGAATGCCGTGCTCTCGGCGATGGCGCGCGCGGGCGACGCCGCTGGAGCCAAAGACCTCTTTGATCGGATGCCGGATCATCGCAATGCCGTGAGCTGGATCATCTTGTGCGAGCTTGGCTGCTCAATGATCCCATTTGAGGCGTTTGACAAGATGCCCGAGCACGGTACCGCGGCGGTACTCGCCGTGGTGGCCGCCTATGCGCGGTGCCTGCGGTGGGATACCGCGCGGTACCTCTTCGAGACGCTTCGTCACCGGACCCTGGTGGCGTGGAACGCGTACCTCGCGCTTTGCGTCGCTCAGTCAGCGCTGGCCCGGCCCGCCGCGGTACTGGGCCGGATGCCGCAGTGGAGCGCCGTGTCGTGGAGCTCGATCGTGGCGGCCAGCGGCAAGAACTCCAAGCTGGGCATGGATCCTGACGAGGAGGAGGCGAGGTTGCTGATAGAAATGACCGCGGCGGCAGCAATTGAGTCGTCCTCCCCCTCCCCGGAGCCGCGATCGATCGCGCTAGCGACGACGCTGCTCGTGGCGCACGCCCTGAATGGCGATACCGCCAGCGCCAAGTCGGTGTTTGACGATACCACGCGGCGCGACGTGGTGGCGTGGACCGCCATGGTGACGGCTTCGTCAATGGGCAAGGACCCCGACCATGCCGCCGCGGTACACCGCCGGATGCCAGCGTGGAATGTGGTGTCCTGGAATGCGCTCGTCTCGGCATATGCCCAAAACGGGCATACCGCCGCGGCACGCGCCGCATTCGACGCCATGCCTGAGAGAAACCTCCGTTCTTGGAACAGCATCATCGCGGGGCTCGCTCACAATGGCCTTCCGCGATTGGCCATCGATCTCTTCGAGAACGAGATGGATCTACCGCCCAACGAGGTGACGCTCACGACGCTCCTGGATGCCTGCGCGGAGCTGGGCGATCTGGCGCTGGGGATCGCCCTCCACAAACGCTGCGCCGAGCTCGACCTCGATCGCCACAGCGTCGTCGCCACCGCGCTGCTCGACATGTACTCTCGGTGTGGGCGCGTGGATCAAGCCAAGCGCGTGTTTAATTCCATGCGCGCCAGGGATGAGCGCGTCGATCTCGTGACGTGGAACGCTATGATCGCTGGATTCGCGAGGAGCGGCCACTCCATCGAAGCCCTGGAGCTCTACCGCGAGCTGGAGAAGCTTGATCGTGAGCTCCAGCCCGACGCCTCCACCTTCGCGGCGGTGATAGATGCCTGTGCCAGCGCGGTACCGCCGGCGGTATCCGAGGGGAGAGCGATCCACCGGCAAGCGATCGCGCGCGGGATGGATGACGATCCGGTCGTGGGCAGCTCGCTGGTGGCGATGTACACCAGGATCGGCGGATTAGACGCTGCCCAGCGATGCTTCGATAGGATCACTGCCAGGAACACGGTGGCCTGGAACTCCATGCTGGTGGGATTCGCGAACCACGGCAGCGCCACTGGGGTGATCCAAAGCTTCCACGCGATGCAGCTGGACGGGGCGATCGCGGACGCCGTGACGTTCGTGGCGGTGCTGAGCTCGTGCTCCCACGCGGGATGGATCGTCGAGGCCGGGCAGTGCTTCCAATCCATGGCGGCGGATTTCTTCATCGCAGCCACGCCGGAGCACTACAGCGCGATCGGGGATCTCCTCGCGCGGCTGGGGCAGATTGGCGAGGCGCGCTCACTCATCCGGGCCAAGCCCTACGAATCCAGCGCCGCGGATTGGATGAGCCTGCTATCGGCGTGCCGGATCCACTGCAACGTCGAGCACGGCGCGAGCGCAGCGGCGCAGGCATTCGAATTCGGCGAGCTTGACGATCCCATCGCCGCCGCCAGTGGCACTTGCAAGCTCTTGCTGGGCATCTTCTCCGCCCTCTGAGATTATTCTAAAATATTCTATCTAACGTATAAAGAAGCATATTCTTGTTTTATTCTTAGATTTGACCTTTCCCACTTTTAAGCAAGCTTAAATTCTACGACGTGACGTGGCAGGATATGATCCGTCCGATAATGCCAAACCAGGAATATTTTCATCATCAGCTCTAATCGGGCACCGAGACACCTTCCAATCAGGCTGTCTGTGCTCGAAGGCCTCCAGAAAACAATTAGCTACTAGCCATGTACAGGAAAATGTTACCTCCTCTAATGTTCTGTGCTTCATCTTCGCGACTCGATTCTTCCTCGTGGATCTTCTTCGTGATCCACCGCATCATAGTGTACAAACGCTGGGGTTATTCGTTGCCGATGCCGGGGAGAAGTCCAGCACGATCACACTCGTGTTGTCCTTGGTCTTGAGCAGACGAGCGTTGCCGACGAGCAGCTGTGCGATCTCTTCGGCGTTCATCGGTGGGAGTGGCATCCGGCCATCGATCGTGGACCGACCGTCCCGAGCCTGAGCGCGCGAGTTAGCGGGGTAAAATACATCGAAGGAAACATACCTCAATCGCCAGCTGAATAGCCCTGATCGGGCTTAGCACGTCCCAAAGCCCGTCGCTTCCCATGACTACTATACCTTTGCTGTCCTTGGTAATCTTGAGGACTTTGCTCACGTAAGGCTCCGCCGAGAAGCAGGATTCTTCCTCCTTGAGGAACTTATCACCCAGAGCCCGTGCTATGTTCATCCCTGGAAAACCAGTCCAAACAGCAAAACAATTTACCAACCAGTGCAAGGAGACGTTTTTAGAACTTACCACAGATGCGCGTTTCGCCATCTTTTAGCTTTCGTCCCATTTCCAGAAGCCGTGCTCTCTCTGTTGGACTAGTAAGCCTATGGTCCTCTGTCAAGACAACCGGCTTTCCTCCGACACTGAAAGAATGAAATCAAGTTCTGGAACTACCATAATCAAAGCAGACACAAACCTTAAAACACACGATGAATCACCGAGATTGGCACATTGCACGAAATACTCCTGACCAACGGTTGACCATAATAGAAGAACTGTGGCTGTGCAACCCTGGAAGTCAGCAATAGAACGGTTACACATTCTGACCCATAGAGCACAGCTACATACAACTCACCTCGTACTCGCAATTCAAGGCTTCTTCAGTTTCTTTGAATGCATCTTTTAAAACTTTAGCCGCATCACATTGAGTTAGGACGTCGATCCTCTCTCCTTCCACCGTAAGAATGTCCGACAACTTCTGTGGTAAAATCCTGTTGTTGAAAACCAAAAAAAGAGGCTTCACCATACAGCTCTGGTATACACATTTGAATTAACATACCTGCTAGCAGCTTCGGCTGCTGCAGGACCGCCGTGCCCATCGAAAATGCAAAAGACTCCAAACTGGATGACACAAAAATGCTTAAACCACTGTCCAATGAACGGAAAAGTACTACCTGCTGAAGTCCTCGCAGTGGCCACTCACAGTGACAGACATCTTCCATTGACAATCTTTCCCTCCGAGAAGTCATCGCATCTGCAGCCACCCCAACACCAAATGGCACCGAAGATACAGAGAACTTGGCGTCCTTCGAAGCTGAGAGATGGACCTGCACGAACTCTCGTGTAAGAAAGCAGCAAATAAGAAGATTCCAGTATGATACTTACGAGTATTTGAGACGTCGATCCTAACGTCAAGACGTCACCACTGGTAAGACCAACAGGTGCGCTTCGACGTCTGCGAGGTCCGGAAATGGATATGGACCTGTGATTTAGGAGTGTTCCATTTAGACTACCCAAGTCTACAAGCTCCCATCGTGAAACCTGAAACGTCTAACGACGATGAGTCCACGTATGAAGCACAAGACCAGGAAACTTACGTCACAGTTCCAATTTATCACTGCATGCTTTCCGGAGACCTCGGAATCGTTCAACACAAGATCGTTTTGAGAAATCCGGCCGATCGACAAGGCGAGTCCGCCATCTTCCGGCAATGTTCTGAGAAGGCGATTACCCGCCGAAGGCCCAGTAAGAACTTCCAAGCTTATGCTACTACCTGCGTCTTCCAAACCAACAGTGTCAGGATTTAAAAAGAAAAGAAAACAGTGGAAGTCAAAGAAAGCATGCTTAGGCGACTGGCTTACGTTGTGCGCCGGTACCCGACGATGGTAGAGAATGCCTTTCGTGAAAATTCGGAACCACTAGAGAGTCGCGAGAGACGATGGTGGCCGACGCCTCAATCCTGGGTTCCTTCTTGTTCCCAAAGTTTGGGCGCTTGAGAGTCTCTCCAATGGAGAAATCTTTGGAGAGGAGAGACTCATTTGCATCCTACAAGACAAAGAAGAAAAACTCACACACTTGGAAAGAAAAGAAACAACCAATTACCTCTTCATCGGTCGAGGCCGAGCAGCAACGCCGCTTAATTGCGCACGCCAGGAGGACGATGCAAGGAGCTATCAACACGGCGACAGCAGCGATCAAGACTGCCTCTTTCATGATGGAGTTCCACTCCCAGACATGTGTCCACTACCTAAAAACTCGAAATCCCTGGCCCGCGAGCAGCGATTCACCTCTAGAAACAAGCGCTAAGATAGAATCGGAGCTGGAGCTGGAGCGATATTACGCATTGCGCCTCGCGCCCGTTGACGCAACCAAAGCTGCTCGATTCGGCGATTCCCAGCTACAATTTCCACGTAGCAGAGCCGGGGCCAATGCAGGAGCCCTTGCGGCAGCGCATTTGGCAGCTCCAGCTAGGAGGACGCTGCTGTGCTTGCTATAAGCCCTAAGTCCATGGCGTTGCGAGATACCTCGGATCTCACCGTCCATCCCCTGGTCATTATGAGCCGGAATGGCGTGGGAAAAGAAGGAAAGAAGCTCGAACCCGGCACCTCCCACTTGGCTGCGACAACGCAGTGCTTTTGCTGACGCGTGTCACGGCAATTCACCTGTCCGTGGCCTAGTGACGTGTCCAGTGACGTGGAGTAGTACGTGGACCAGACCTAGAATGCCCGAGCCTGCTAACGAAGGGAAGCTAACGGAGCTATAGTGGCGGCCCGCAATTAGGGTTCTAGCGTCCGAGGGAGCGAGCGCGGGCGCGGGAGGCGCTGGTCGTGCGGCTGCTGGTTTGTGGAGGTTTTATTCGTTGTTTTCTCACTCCCAGGGTTTTGGGTAGGGTTTAAGCGCTTTGTGGCAGCCATTGGGGCCATGGCGGAGAAGAAGAAGGCCAAGGCGGACCATGAGGAAGTGTCGGAGGTAGATAACGAGCTAGTTAGCGCTATTGAGAAGTTACAGGATGTACAAGACGAACTTGAGAAGGTACTGAGGAATTTTGGGGATTTTGCGAGTGCTCAGTGAGCGTGAATTGGATTGACAGGTAAACGAGGAAGCTAGTGATAAAGTTCTGGAAGTTGAGCAGAAGTACAATGAGATCCGGCGGCCCGTTTACAACAAGAGGAACGAGATTATTCGAAGTATACCGGATTTCTGGCTCACTGCTGTAAGTGGAGAGAATGTAGGCCATTTTTGTCACTAAGTCGGGGGTGTGTGGATCATAGTTTCTGAGCCATCCAGTTCTATGCGATCTGCTAAGCGAGGAGGACCAAAAGGTTTGCCTCCATTCAAAAAAATGTTTTTTTTTCCTCAAGTTTTCTGGCATTGATTGACACGTAACACAGGTTTTCAAGCATCTACAGTCTTTGGATGTAGAGGATTTCAAAGACGTGAAATCTGGATACTGCATCACATTCGTAAGTCGTTCTTTGCACGTTCCCTCGGCATTTATTAAGCGTTTCAATTCCTTCTCTGTTTTTTTTTTTTTTTTATAATATTTTTATTTGTGTGTGTGTGTGTGTCTCGGACAGTCGTTCAAACCAAACCCATACTTTGAAGATACAAAACTAGTAAAGGTTTTCCGGTTTTCCGATGAAGGTACAACTTCGATTTCTGGCACGAAGATTCGATGGAAAGACGGAATGGTAAACGCAGAGCTTAGTTGATTTCTTGCGCAACTGACTTGGTTTTGTTCACAGGATTTAACAAACGGTGCCGCTGTAGAAAAGGAAGGCAACAAACGGCCTTTAATAGAAGAGAGGTTTGTTTAATTTGCTCAACAATATTTCATCGTTTTCTTCCCCGCAGCTTTTTCAAGTGGTTTAACGATAGCCAACAGAAGGAAACGACCGAGGGCATCCAAGACGAGGTACCGAATAAAAAAACTGCGTTTGTTTCTAATCCTTCAGGCCATGCTCTCCAGGTCGCGGATGTCATCAAAGAGGATTTGTGGCCCAATCCTTTGAAGTACTTCAACAATGTATAATGCTGTGCATTGCTTTCCAATTGCCGGTTCTGACGAAAAGTGGCAGGATGGCGACTCGGATGAATATGAAGACGAAGAAGAGGACGATGAAGACGGAACGGTGAGCTTGTCTCAGTTTTTTTCTTTTTAATCACATCCAAGATCTCAGGGCGCAAAGCGAGTTGCCGATGGTTTTGAAGAAGAAGAAGAAGAGCCAGACGACGACGACGATGAGGAGTAGAAGCTGGTGCGCGAGCGATGTTCATAGCTTGAGAAAAATGACCCGCAGCCATATTAACACTACATTTCCGTGAGAGACACACAGAGTGAGTGATAGCAAGTACGAGTTTCTACAGCAAAAGAAGGATTTTCCCGCGTAGGTAGCCTTTCCTTTTTTTTTTTGTTTAGTTTGTCCCCTCTTTGGAAAAGTATCAGGGTTGACTTCCACAAAACAAAAAAGCTTCGAATTCTTGCACCGGCAACTTGAAGCTCACGAGATGAGATGATTGAATTGTTGCAGTAGTGCCAAAGTCGCAGAAGACCTCAACAAAACCATTGAATCCTACCTTTTTTATGGTGGCCGTTGTGCAGGTGCGCAGAATTCTGAAACTTCAAGCTTGAAAACCCCCCGGAATTCAAAGTTAGTAGACAAACAAAGCGAGGAAATCACAGAATCGAGTCGCGATGGTGACGCAAGCACGAAAAGGTGACAGATGGGATCCCAATTCACCCAATCTCCATGGCTACCGACCAAAACCCGCGCGGTCAACCACTCTGTGACCACGGGCCCTGCGAGTGTGAAAGCACTCCTTAGTCAACGCCCACACTGTCAGTCAATGCCTTGTTCGCCCTGACAGGAAAGGAAGCTCCCGCGAAACCCAGCCATGGAAAGCGAGCAGCTTCCACTCACCATCACCGACCAGATCCTAAAACCTCCAAGATCAGCGGCGAACAAGCGAGGATGAGCGGCGGCCAGGAATTCCGTAGCCGGTGCACGTATCACAGAAAGCAAGAAATATTCCCACGACAAATGCGAAACACATGCGCGAAAGAAAGCCCTAATCAAAATGCGCTCAAATGAACAGGGTTTAAAAGCACAAAACCCCACGAAGCTGCTGGCCGGTTTCACATTGCGAGAGTTCGCACTCGGTCTTTAAAGCGTGCACCCTCTCTCCCCAATCCCAAACAAAAGCAACGTTTTTCGCCAATCCAGCTGGCGGACACGAGGAGTCGGGTCGAGACGAGTTAAAACGAGTGCCGCAAGCTATATCTCGGGTTTCTTGGCTGAGCGCCATATATACCATCGCAGCGCGCTGACTTGCAACTCACATTGATTTTGCGCGAAGGTGGGGGTGGCTGACTTTGCCCATTGTTGGAAGTAAAACAGCGCGTTCGGCCGCCGCTGGAATAAGAATCGCCACCGAATTCTCATTCTCGCAGGGAGAGGAAAGATCCTCGCGACGACGAGGCCAGCTTCACAGGGGAGGATCGCGCAAGTAGGAATGTTGGCGGTGATGAATCATGACACGAGCGCGGCCGGAGCATCGTCGCTAGGCTGGAGCGCGAGCAGCATCACCCAGTTTGATTTCAACAGCATCGACTTCGCGGGGATCCAATCGCCCAAGGCGGAGGTGTCCCCGGAGTCCTCGTCCAGCAGCTACGATCTCTCGGCGGTGGTGCCTCCGCCACCGACATTCGCGATCGCGCCCCCCGCGCCAAGAACAACGACAGCAGAGCAGTCCCCTGTTTGCGTGCCGGGCTCCAACCCTCGGCCGCGATTCCGGGGCGTGAGGCGGCGGCCATGGGGCAAATGGGCCGCCGAGATCCGCGATCCCAAGAAGGCCGCCAGAGTGTGGCTGGGGACGTATGATACCCCCGAGGACGCGGCGCGAGCTTACGACATGGCGGCGCTGCGCTTCCGGGGGAGCAAAGCCAAGCTCAACTTCCCAAACGAGTCCAATCGCACCAGGAGCGTCGCCAGCGCCGGGATCGTCAAGTCCTCCTCCTCCTCGCCGCCATTCTCCGCCGCCAGCGCCAGCGCGGCCAATTCCTTTCGCGTCGGTGGCTCCATGTCGGGCAACTTCCATCTCCTGGATCAGATCCAGATCCGCGGCGGGGCCAGCAGCGATGGCGTCACCGCTGCCAGTAGCGCCAGCGCTGGCACCTCGCCATTCGCGTTCCAAGGTCTTCCTGGTTTTTCCGGATCTTCGCAGTTCCATTCCCCGCCACAGCAGCAATTCGAGACGAGTTCCAGCAATCCCAGCAGCTTGTGGCAGCGGCGATCCATCTCGGCCGCCATCTCGCCGCTCCAGACGATCAATCCCCAGCACCAGTACCATCGACACCACCATCTCTCACCACCGCCAACGATTGCCTCGTCCGGAGGAGATTCTTCGAACCTTCCAACGCCGTCCGCGGCAGCTTCGTGGCAGCTCCCACAGCCGCATCCGCCACAGGATATACTCTCGCTCGAGCAGATATTCTCCCAGTCCCCGCGGGTATACCCGGGATATACCGGAGAATATTCACCCGGGATGCTCCTCCGGATGCTCGAGGACCCGTCGCCCAGCCGCGCCCGGCTGGACCCCCCCGCGACCGGCTTTGCGGACGATTCCGATTCGCCCAGGAACTTCTTTCCATGATATGCGGTGTGCCGAAAAGATTCGCTAAAGGATTCGTTTCTTGTACATGACGGACAAGCAACATCAAATAGGCAAGAAAAGAGGAGGTCTTGGACGACACTTGACCAATCATAGATTCGATCAAATCGAGATTCGCCACCTTTTTGTATACTCCACCCTTTACCCTTGCCCTAATAGAACATTCCCCGTATTGGTTTCTTCTTTTTAGGGCTGGATTGAGCGCAATGGCGAAGGCTGGAGCGATGGATCTGGCGTCCGGGCTGGGAGGAAACCTGAGTCGCCGCGATCTGGCGTCATCGGTGGATCAGTAAGCGTTTCTTTCTGTCGCTCCGCGTGGATTTGGAGTGGATCCGGGCGATAGATAGATTGTAGATTGACAGATCCGTTATTTTCTTGCGCTCACGCATTGCTGAGCTCGTGCATTCTCTTGTGCTTGTAGATATGAAAAGTATCACTCCTTTTATGGGGGCGAGGAGGACAAGCGCAAATTCAACTACACGGACATGGTGAGGAGCTTATCAAATGATTTGGACGAAGCTTTTCTTCCTTTTTCTAGTTTGTGCTGAACTTCTTCTTCTTTGGTTTTCTATCTATTTTACTGCTCAGGTGAACAAGTACTACGATCTAGCGACGAGCTTCTACGAATATGGCTGGGGACAATCCTTCCATTTCGCCAACAGGTAATGCGCCTTTGCATAATCCAGGCTTGAATCGATGGAGGAGTTTGCGGAAATGCTACAGGGATTAGCAAACTAGCCATGCGACTTTGATTGTTTCCATGTCGAGGACGTAAACTGGACGTGATGTCTCTTTGTCTCCAGGTTCCAGGACGAAACACTACAGGAGAGTATCAAGAGACACGAGCATTTCCTGGCGCTTCATCTGGGCTTGAAGCCTGAAATGAAGGTATAGTTTGATGATTCAAAGGTGATCTATTTATCTATACGTAAACTTGACGAGGTGCTGGATGTCGGCTGTGGAATCGGTGGACCCTTGCGAGAGATTGCGCGGTTCAGGTATCAGGCAGAGTTCTTTTTGACTGGGTTATCGTTTCACAGATTCGCTGATCTGCTTTCCTTTTCCCCTTTTGTGACTTTGCGTGACAGTGGAGCATCTATTACGGGTTTGAACAATAATGGCTATCAGATATCACGGGGGACTGTAAGTAGAGCTACGAGATAATCTTCGTTTCTCGCTCTAAAGTTCTCGCTTGTTTGTCTTATAGGAACTCAACAAAAAGTATGGCTTGGATAAGACTTGCGATTTCGTCAAGGTACGTTTACATGCTTTTTTATTTTTTAATTTTTGTTCGATGTCAAACCTTGCGTTTTGCAGGCGGATTTCATGAAAATGCCTTTAGCGGATAACACATACGACGCTGTTTACGCCATCGAGGCCACTTGCCATGCTCCAGATGCCGTAAGGTTAAATTTTTTCTTTCTTCCAACTTCTCGTGAAAACATTGCACAGGTCGGATGCTACAAAGAAATCTGGAGAGTCCTCAAGCCCGGGCAGTGCTTCGCAGCTTACGAGTGGTGCATGACAGACGCGTATGATCCTCACAACGAACACCACAACAAGATGAAGGTAAGCTTTCATCTCTCTGTTGTAAGTAATTCACAAGCTTCTCTCCAAAACAGGCCGAGATCGAGCTTGGAAACGGCTTGCCAGACATTCGAACGACGAGACAATGCCTCGAGGCAGCCAAGGAAGCAGGATTTGAGGTATGGAATGTTTTCTCTACTTCTTCTCTCTTGATATGTCTCTTGGTTCTTTAGATACTCGTCGAGGATGATCTAGCAAAGACATCCCCGCTTCCGTGGTACTTGCCGATCGACCCTGGCCGATTCTCCTTGTCGAGCTTCCGCCTAACTCGTCTCGGCAGATTCTTCACTCGCAACCTTGTCTGGGTTCTCGAGTCGATCAAAGTCGCCCCAGAGGGAAGCGGCCGAGTGAGCCAGTTCCTTGAGAAAGGCGCTGATGGTCTCGTCGCGGGTGGCAAGTACGTAAAATTTTTCTCCATCTCTTGATTTGTTTCTCACTCTGGTCTCTTTCGTTTGCTTTTAGGAAGGAGATCTTCACTCCAATGTACTTCTTCCTGGCTCGCAAGCCACTGTGAAGACGAATTCTCAGCGTAAAGGAGAGAACTTTTCTCTGGCTGCGAAGAACACCATTGATGAAACGAAAGCGATCTATTTATGAGGAGTGAAAATAACAAGAGGTAGAACGAAGAACCTCGTAGCAAAACAGTAATTGTAATAAAAGGATGAGAAGATCTTCTGCAAAAATTGTTCCTGGTAGATTCAGATTCCAGGGCCCGGAAGGAAGAGAAGACGATGGATCACCCGACGAATTTAAACCACCAAACCATGGAAGATGGAGAAAAAAAAAAGAAAGAAAGAATTCGCTTGCCTGTCGATCTAATCGCCCAAGTGGAAGTAGAGTCGATCGATGCGACAAAGACGATTAAATCTTCTCTAGAAGCGCATGCCACCAGGACCCGAGGCTCGCTTCTCGTTGTTCCTTCTCGTCACGTAAACGTAGCCTCCACCGACCGCGAAGATCACGCCCGCGATCACCCCAAACGCGATCCCAGCCTTGGCTCCACCTGAGATCCCAGAGCTCCCACCACCACTGCTGACCCTGTCCACCGGCTGGTTCTCCGCGGCCGCGGAAGTGGGCGGTGATCCTGGCGGCGAAGAGAGCGGCGGGAAGGAATTGCCCGTGCCCTCGTCGCCATCTGATGGAGCTGGTGCTGGGGAGGAGAAGGGCGATGGAGATGGCGACGGAGGCTCGGCGCTACCGCTGGAAGGGCCTGGAGCTGGAACTGGCGCGTTGTCAGGGTTTGAGAGCTCTGGAGAGGGCGCCGGAGAGAACGAGGAGGGGCCGGGCGCCCCGGCCGGCGGAAGCTGCGAGACGACAATGCCGGCGTGGAGGAGCAGTAGAATCGATGCGAGGAGGAGGAGAGGGACCGCTCCGGGCCTCATGGCGCTGGATGATCCAAAAGCCCTACCTAGGGGAAAAGAAGGAGAATGCTTTCCGGGGAGCAAGAAATCCCAAACCTTTCGAGCGCGCTAGCTAGGATCTAGCGTTGTCACTGATCAGCCGCGTGGGTCTCGCGGCCAAGATCCAAAGATTCGCGCTGCGCGACACGGCGTTGAGATCCCTAGGAAGGAAATGGAGAAATTCGAGAGCGAGGCATACCGGAGTGGACGAATTCACGCTCGGCGCTCGCGAAACCTGGCCAGATCTGGCGACGTTGGCACCGCCCCAACCGCGTACGCGAAAGAGGGTGAAGAACAAAGAATGGGCGCCAAAGACTAGTTAAACCCTCGCTAACCGAACGCAGTTAAAACTTAACCGCCACACTTAGGCTAAAGAAGGAGGAACCGCTAGGATGCTGACACGTATTCGCACAGCCTGGATGCCCTAATTAGGGCTGGGGTCATGGACAGAGCCACAGGGAAGATCTTGCTCGTATGACGATGGAGTTTCATATAGCGGGATCTTGTGGAGAAATTGTCTCGCAGATTACGCTTGCATTGACCAGGGCAATGAACAGGCTGCCACAGGGCGGTGTTTGATCGCATCGCACGCCAGATCTTCTGTTGGTCCATCAATGATTCATCGCTTTCGTCGACTGCACGAGTCGAATTGATCACTCCCTTGCGAAGCAATTGGGGCTTTTTTTTCTTGGATAGTTTTGGCGGCAAGAGCGGGGCATATCTCCGGAGATTCCTTTTTTTAAAATCGCCTTAAAGATTAGTATATTCTCCCGTGAATTTTGGAGAGATGGACGGCTGCGATGCGCCTGATCTATCGAATCTTCAAAGAGATGGGCTGGCTGCGTGGAGGGACAACCGAACACTGTGGCCATGGCGGACGAACCCTAGTCTACAGGCACGAGCGCCTAGGGTTTTTCCTGGAGGAATGGGGGCGGGCAGGCGCGGCGGATCTCGGCGAGAGCTAGCGAGGTACGATTGATGCCCGCATTGTCCATGACGCCGCCGCTCGGATTCGCCGTGAGCTGCTGCTCGATTCCAGATTCGTGTTGCCGGCCTATGAGCTGAAAGGAGCAGTGGTAGCGGCGGGAAGAACCATGGGGCAGATTATCGACGAGGAATCGCCTTACAGCCACAGCCCAGCTCATTGGGCTGTTGCCCGAGGCGATCACGCGCTGCTTCGACGGATTCTCAATGGGCTTCCAAATCTCCCCAAGGCTGGAGAGGTGAAGCTCGAGGCAGAGTCACTGCGAGCGGAGGAGAAAGCCGAGGTGCTCTCTTCGGTGATCGATAGGCGCGATGTGCCAGGGAAGGAGACGCCACTTCACTTGGCTGTCCGGCTGGGAGACGCTACCGCAGTGGACATGCTCATGGCTAAAGGCGCCGATTGGAGCTTGCAGAACGAGAGAGGATGGAGCTCCTTGCAAGAGGCCGTGTGTACTCGCCAGGACGCTCTTGCGATGATCATCATCAAGTACTACCAGCCTCTAGCTTGGGCAAAGTGGTGCCGGCGCTTGCCAAGGATCATCGGCTCCATGACGAGGATGCGTGATTTTTACATGGAGGTGACTTTCAACTTCGAGAGCTCCGTGATCCCGTTCATCGGCCGCATTGCTCCATCCGATACATACAAGATATGGAAGCGGGGATCCAACCTCAGGGCGGATATGACTCTGGCAGGCTTCGATGGGTTTTGGATCCAGCGGTGTGACCAGAGCTTCTTGTTTCTCGGGGACGGGACCCCGGACGGGAAGCTCCCACCAGGCTCGCTTTGTCTACTGAATCACAAGGAGAAGGAGGTGATGAACGCGTTGGAGGGGGCCGGAGCTCCACAGTCCGAGATGGATATAGCTCAGGAGGTGGCAGCTATGTCTAAGACGAATGTTTACCGTCCGGGGATTGACGTCACAGGGGCCGAGCTTGTCCCCAACTTGACTTGGAGGAAACAAGAAAAGGTGGAGATGGTCGGGCAGTGGAAGAGCAAAGTTTATGACATGCACCACGTTGTGATCAGCGTTCGCTCGCGAAGGGTCCCGGGGGCAATGAGCGACGCCGAGCTGTTTGGCGTGCACGAAGAGAGGGAGGAAGAGGACGAGGAGTATGACGATGGAGGGTATAAGGACTTACTCACAGAAGATGAGCAACACCAGCTTACGAATGCGTTGCGGGTCCAGAGTGGGGAGTTCGACGACGAGGGGTTTGTGGAGGCTAGATCAAGCCTTGCGAACGGTACGCTGGCGGAGGCTCTAGCGGAAGAAGACGATCACGAGGAACTCAGGCGAGTACCATCGAAGGAGAAGAAGAAATGGTTCCGGTTCCCGAAGAAGAACACCACCAGAGACACCACGAAGAAGGTCGTTCCGTACAGGGGTTCTGTTAACATTGACGAGAGAGGACCAGCTGACAATGATCCGGACTCAAAGCTGTTGAGACGGCATTCGGACTTTATAGCGGAGGAGGGCATGTCAAGGAAAGGGAAAGAAAAGATTGGAAGGCAGAGCAGTAGCAGGGAAGCAGTTCGGTCCAAAGTTCCTGCCAGTGACGACACAGAGAGCGAATACAAGAAAGGTCTACGTCCAAGTCTGTGGTTAACGAAGGATTTTCCACTTAAAACGGAAGAGCTCATACCTCTGCTCGACGTTTTAGCCAGTAAAGTGAAAGCTATTCGGAGATTACGGGAGCTACTCACGACAAAGCTTCCGCCAGGAACTTTTCCTGTAAAGGTACGGACTTTACTTCGGATTTTTGCACTTTCTGGATTTTCTTGACTGTATTATTCTCTTTTTCTTTGCAGATGGCCATACCGGTTGTCCCGACAATCAGAGTGGTCGTGACTTTTAGCAAGTTTGTGGAGCTGGAACCCGAAGAGTTTCACACTCCACTGTCGAGTCCTAGCCAGTTTGATGACGAAGAGGTTCCTCTGAAGGGACCAAAGGCCCCTCGAGAGTCTTCGACTACTTCAAGCTCCTGGATTCCGTGGATAAGGAGCTCCCAGAGCACAGGGAAGGCGGTGTTCCTGGAGGACCATCTGAAAGAAGAGCCTGATCCTTTCCTCATTCCGGAAGATTACACTTGGATTGATCTCAACGAGAAGAAGAAGCGGATGAAGGACAAGAAGAGCAAAAGGAAGAAGAACAAGAAGCAGCAGCCTGATGCATCAGCTGCGGACACGGACTCTAATCCTTGAGAGGAACAGAGGTACGCTGACAGTTTTCTTATTTTAAGTTTCGTATCGCTTTCTTACGTTGTGATGAAGCAGGAACAATCACCATGATGGTCGCTTTCACGCAGGTTCCAAGCAGCATTGCGTGCGTTTCGTGTGTATACCAACTTTGTGTGAATTCTCAAAACTGGGGTCCGATTATTTGATCCCGAGCGCACATCGCTGTCTGTCAGTAACTCCCAAAGCTTTGAAGCAGCTCCAGAAGAGTCCATAAATCGAGAGAATCTACCTAAGCGCTCTCCTTTCCATAAAATGCTCTGATCTCCTCTCTCTCTCTCCCTCAATCAATTCAGTGTCGTTGCTATCGAGTTCCTTCCTCTTTTCTCTCGTCTTTTTTCTTGGGGAGTGTTTCACTTTACGCCATAGTTGCTTGCAGGGACTTGCTTCTTGCGAGCGCAGACCATAATGTAAGAGTCAATTTTGATTTTCTGATAACTGACCAGGCCGCTCGTCTCGAACAGCTCGTCCAGTTCATCCTCAAAGAAAAAAATTTTGGTGCCGAAGATCTTCTCTGCGGCCTACACACGAGAAAGGTAAGGAAGTGATCGAATATTTCATGAACTTGTATACCAGTCTCATAAACTTCTGCGTTGTTTGCAGCTTGGATTTCCATCTGGGAAGGAATGTGGTCGCAACCAGGACTCCTCCAGGCCGAAGAACACGACAGATCTCTGCAATCTGAGAAAAACGAGAAGGGAAAAGCTGAGATAAGTTTTTCTTTTTCTCTGGTTCCATCAAGTTAACGTATTACTGCAATTGATGGCGACTCCCAGCAGTGCAATGCAGCTCCTGAATAGACGGCCGAGATGCTGCCCGATGCGAAAGGAAGCCTCGATGCATCAGCTCTGACGAGAACGACTTTCCTGAAGAAGAAAGGATAAGGAGGTTTCAATCACACAAGAAGGACAGACGGCTCACTCGTTCCATGGAGATTGCTTCTCGTTGAGCAACGCATGGCACTGGATCAGCATTGCCTCGGAGAAGTCTGCCGCAACCACGGCGGTGAAGGTAGCGGACTTTGCAAACCGTCGAGAGTGGAGGCCGGTGCCACAGCTGATGTCGACGAGCAGATTCTCTTCGTCGGGTCTGGAGGGATCAACAGCAGTTTGGAGGAAAGTCTCGGCCAGCTCCACCTGAAGAACAAAGAGAGTGAGTCGAGACGATCGCTGCGAGTTGGAGAGAATGGAGAAGCAACCTCTCTGTCGGGACCGGGGAACCCAAACTTCTCGAAGCTCTTGCGCCAGTTCTCCTCGTAGATGAGAGAGATCCATTTCGTCCTGCGAGAAGGTAAGGTTTGATCATCACTCCAAGCGTTTGTTAGCGAGTAACTCTTTCTTTTTTTGTGTGGGCGACAAACCTGAAGAGCCTGACTCCAATTGGAAGAGTCTCCTGCCAAGTGCTGCGATTGGCACCCAGCGTCAAATCGATGAAAGTTCCATCGCTGGGAAAGTCCTTGCTGCAAGTTTGGCACCGCAAGATTGACTTGGCGATTGCTGCGCTGCAAGAGAAGAAGAAAAAGCGATCGATCGATCGAAGAAGATAAGAAAAAAAGGAGAAGAGAGAGAGAGAGAGAGAGAGGAACAAAACTTACCGATTAAATCCTTGGGGTCCATGCCGGCTGAGTGGCTCCAAACATGTGGGGCAAGCAAGATTTCTTGGGCTGGTTGTCTGGAAAGAAAGAAAAGCAAGAAAAAGTATGAATTGAGTTGACTCAAGGGATCGCATTGCTAGAGGGAGAATGAGATCACACCTGAGTAGAGAGCGGCGGTGGTGGAGATTTTTGAGCGATAGCCATGAAGGAGACGAAGAATTGGACGCGGCGCCGCCAATTCCAGCGGGGCTTGTCTTGTTGGAGCCGGCAATTGCTGCTCCCTGCTGCCTCCTGGGGAACAAGAGCGCGGTTTAGTGTCGTCACTCTGGGGAGCAAACGCGCAGCAATGCCCCGCATCAAATCCAAATGCTGGAGGAAGGATTGATTGGAGTGACAAGCCGAGAAGGAGATAATCTAAGACCAGCAAAGAGGAGGAGGGGATGAAGGATTCATCCGAGATCTATCCATGCTTGCTCTTGCTCGTGTTCTTGGCTAGTTTTGCTGCTAGCGCTGCCAGTGGTGAGTGTCACAGGAGAAAACAATATAGCAGTCGTCATCTGGGATTTTTTGCGCTACACACAAGTGTGAATGTGTGTGCCAATGAATGAATGAATGCCTACACAACTAATACTCTCTTGCTCATAGCTAGGGAGCTAAAATATCCCCTCTTTCTCTTTCTCTCTCTCTCTCTCTCTCTCATCGATCCCTCTCTTTCCATCTCTCTCTCTATCATCTCCTCCTCCAATCTCTTGCTTCTCACACACATTGCAGAGAAAGGGGATTGATTGATTGATTGATCTCCCCTCTCTTTGTTTTTTCCTCTGCGCAAACACACCATAGCCAACAACCATTCACACCCAACAGCAAGACCACAGCACAAATCCGACAAAAATTCGCCGCAGGCTTTGCCTTGCATACCAGAAATCGTCGTCGTCGTCGTCGTCGTCGCCGTCGATACCAATCGCGAGCGCTATCGCTGCAAGGAAATTTCGATTCATCCATGGATTGGCTGCCCACTCTTATACCACTGCCTCTCTCTCTCGCGGGTGGATTCTTTACCATTTGTTTCGCGCTATATTTTATGCGGCTCTGAGGGAAGTCCATCCCGCGATTGTCAGCAGCTGGAAGAGAAATTGTCAATGCCGCGACTAGTTTTTCTAGTGGATTGTTTACTCTTTGCGGACCGATTGGATCCAGAACTGGAAAATCATACTTCTAAATGATTGACCAAGCGACGATCCCTCCATGAATCTCATGGGGATCCCCCGCGGCAAAAGGAAGAGAAATCGATTTGGGTGGGTCGAAACCGCCAAATTGGGCGCCACTGGGCGCCGATTCGATCCGATCGTCCGCTGCCTGGAGCGCGATCGATCATCAATCGACCAAGAACAAATAAACGCTTTCATAGAAGCCACTAAACTATGGAGATTGTACGCTCCCCACCATGATCCTCAAGATCACACACCACACAAGGGTGGCTGGTGGAATAATAAATCACATATTCCCCGGATTTTGAATTTGAAATGGATGGATAGCGCCTTTGCCCATTTAAGGCACATACGCTCAAACCGTATCTATACTGTGGCTCATACGTCTCGGTCGTATAACGTTATTCCTCATTCAATACCGACGGCTCCGTACGGCAAGTGGGCCACCCTCTGGGCCAGGCTGGCCCATGGTCCAGGGCTCGATTCTCGTTAAGCTCGTGAAAGCTTGCGTTTGATGATTAAGCGAATTTTTAGTTTGGAGCTCATGTGATTGATTAACAATGATAATGGTTTCAATATTACATACATACAACAAGCAGTAGTAGCACCACCACCAATGTAATAATTCGCTCTGTGTGTGTGTGTGTGTGTCAAAACTTGGACGAAGAAGAACGAAAGAATTCCCTGTTTTCGAGTGTGGTTTCGCATCAAAGGTGCTGTAATTGTACTCCAGCTTCGTTGTCGTGCTGCTGTTCTTCGATGGTCTGTTCTTCGATGGTTTGATACGAGTGCTGCTTGTTCCTGCGAAATCTCCACAGCTGCCAGTAAATTACACCTCCGGCCGTGCAAACCAGAATGATGCAAACGGCGACGATCAGTGTCGCGGCAGCGATCTCGCGCTGACGAGATCCTCCCATTTGCCTGAAACTAAACGCAGGACTGAGCTGTCCGGAAGAAAAAAGTTTTTTGAGAAGAACTTACTTTTGGCGCTCAAGAACTCTACAGCTGGTGAGATTGTAGACTCCAAACACCTCCGACAAGTGGACTTCATGCCGCTCCAAACGTGAGATGAGCTGCTGCCAAGTTTTCTCACTTCTTAGTGCCCGCAGAAGAAAAAGACACGAACATTACCTTGGTCGAGTCCATCTCATTTGGAAAAGCCATCCAAGCCACCACGATACTGCTCCCAGCAGCCGTGAAGTTGAGAATTCTGACCTGAGAAAGGCTGTCAATGACAAAGAGTTTTAAGCCGTAGAGTTGTACCTGATCGAGATCTAAATCCAGCTCTCGGGCTACGTCCTTGACGAACTCCGCGGTTAAGCTGGCAAAAGTGGTGTAATTCGTTGCCAGCAGCATGCTGACTTCGATAGCTCCGGCCATGTCTCCTGCGCCAACAGAAGGAGACGGGGCCGGAGGGAGCAAGAACTGAGCAGGCTGTGTCGAGTGACCGGGCTCGTTCGTCTCGGGCAGTCTGCTCCACAGGTCGTTGCACTTCGTCTTTAAGAATCCAATCGATGCCTTTCCACGGTTGTAAGTCACAAGCATGTTTCTCACGATAATCCCTGCCATGATTCGGCAACGTCGCCAGGCTGAAAATCATCAAGTAGAGTTTGTACCTCCTAATAAAGTTGTCGGGTCTCCGTTCTCAAACACTCCCAAGCAGTATGCTCCAGAGATTTTTGTGTGCTGCGATGTTCACATGTGGAGAGAGAAAGAATGAAACCAATGTTTTTCGACTTTGGAAACACTTAAAGACAATCTCACCCGAAACAGGTAGTTCTCTGGCGAGAGAGTTACGCTCTGACCATCTCCGAAAACGAAATCCACAGACGGGAAGAACTGGGACAGATTGGAAACGTTCCTGTTGCGAAAGGAAACAGAAGTTAAGGGTGGGTTGAAATGGCATCTGCATGTACACTCACGTCCCGGCCCCGGCGTAGCAAATATCTTTAAACTTTTCATCCGGACCTGGCACCTCCTTAAGGCTTCCAACCTGTTCCTTCACCTGGAAGAAAAGGATTTCAAAAGATTCGTAAGCATGATTGACAGTTACGAGCGCTCTCTCGCACTTACTGCACTTTTAAAAGCCTGAAACGCAGCTCCAGGGAAGTACGCGTATGTCGTTCCGCTGTCCAGAACGGTGCCATACTTGCCATCAAAAACTTCGGGCTTTAAGCGCAACGGGCTACCACCAACACGAATTCCTTTGAGCATCAAGTTGTAATAAGGACTGGAAAAAAAGAAGATGTCAACTCTAACAAAGTCAGAAAGAATGAAAGAATACCTGCGATGGGGATCAGACGCCGTAAAAACCATGTCTTTTGGGGGCTGAAAACCACCGAGTATCATCGCACCACCCCCCTCGTCCATTCCTCCATAACAAAGAGAGAAAACGTCCTCCATGGCATTCTTCTCAACGAGCTGGTCGATGATGCTCAGAGGACCTCGTCCCAGTCCGATAATTCCATCCGCAGTCTGATCATACAAGTCCCCCGTCTCGGCAGTCTCGCAGCCGAAAACGAGACGCTGGCCACCGAGATCGCTGCTGTTGCTAAAACCTATCACGTCCTTTCCAAGCACTCCACTGCTTGTGCTCTTCTCCGCATACTGGCGCTGATACTTGCCTGCGGGAGACTTGAGAGCCTTGCAAAAAGCTTGTGAAAAACTTACAGAAGTGCTACTTACAACGTGATCCATCACAGAAACCCGTGCTGCATTCGCTCCCACACTCGAGAGGCTTGTAAGAGGACGACAAAGCTGGAGAAAATCTGGGATCCTGCAAGAAAAAAAAAGAGCAAAACATTTTTTTGGGAGAAAGAAAGGAAGATCTATCTACCTGGTGATTGCCACAGTGAGTACACGAAGAACAAGGAACGTAAGTGACAGTGCTTCCAGTGTCGACAATGAGAGAAAATTCGTGAGGTGGTGTTCCAATCTTAACTCTGCTTGTATAATACCTGCAAGAATTTGGATTGAGCGTGGCTGCGCCAGAGGAGAGAAAGGAGCAAACGAAATTCGAGACAACAGACCCTTTAGTGAGGAGATCGTCGTGTAAATCCATTCGCGCACTTCCCAGCAGCTCCCTGTCGCGCCTACGATGAGAATTTGCGACGAGCTCCAACGGCATTACCATCGGATTGGCGAAGACAGAGAGCATTCCTAGTTGAGCCAGTGACAATCCAAGGAGGAACAGAGCCTTGTGCGCCATTGTGGTGCTCTGCCCTAGATCGTAACTTAGGTCTACCTTCGTCACGTTCAAAATTATTATTATTCTTTTATTTTGATTTGAATGAAACACAAGTTTAATCTAACTCTGAATCTATTGAATCTTTTCCCTAACTATCGTTACCTTTAGGATGAGTCAGATTACAGTGTGAAATGTACTTTACTCTCATCTGGACTAAAGTGCCATGTCAATCAAACATTAAACCAAATTAAAAATTATCCAGATGCTAGCATTTGAATGGATTATTCTAAGAGGAGTGAATTTTACTAGGGACTAAAACAAGGGGTAAGTTTACTCCTGAGAGAGTGAAGTTTACTTTTGGTCCATTTACATGTGACCATAGTTTTAGTGAAGGACCAAGAGTAAAGATTGCTTTGAAAAAAAGGGGTGGGTGGTTGAGGCATGTGACCTGGCTCTAAAACCAAACAAAAGCTCAAGAAAACATTCTTCCCTCCAAGAAAATTTTTAAATCTTTTTTCTATGAAAACCTCCCCTTTACTTGTAACATCTGTATTAATAATAATTGTTTTTAGTATTTCTTTATTTTATTTTTGGTAGTATTATATTTTAAAATATTATTTTTATAAATATTTTCATACCAAGTGAAACTATAAAGTTAAATAATATATCTGATATCTATAATAAAATTGTTTATGTTTAGTGTTTGTTCTTATAATTTTGTCTATGTCTCAGTAACATTAGTTCTTTTAAAATATTAGTGTACTAAATATATTTATATTCTATATATGTATATACAGTATATATTTAAAGGAAATGTTTTTTATTAAATTCCATATTTTTGTATACACCCAGCATTTGCTAGGCATTTGAAGTGTTGGAGTGTTGGTAAGGTAGTTTATTAGGTATAATTGCTAATTAGGGGGAAAATTCATTTAATATTTTATATAGGCGTATAAGAAGAAGGATTTTGAATTGGCATTGGTGAATTACTCCAAAGCAATCGAGTTCGACAACAATCCTATCTCACAAATAGAGTGGTGGAAAGTTCTCTAAAAAAAGTGATCAATGCACTAATACAATTCATCCTTGGGACAAAGACATTATTAGAGGGGAAGAATTGTTAGGTGTCAATTTTGACCAAATGGTCAATATGGTCAAAGGTAAACTAAAGCATCAGAGGGTAAGGAACTTAACCTACCCTAAGGGATTTTAGTGGAGCAATTGTGCAGTAAAGCTTTTGAGGTAACTTTGGATCATAACACTAAATAAGAAGTTTCATTCTCAGAAGTACATAATTATAAATATTAATTATGATGTTTTCCACAATAAATTATTTTTAATTATGGACCCTTTTGAAGCTTAGTGTTATTTCTTTGAAAATTCTCCCCAAATGATTACTATTTATAATGATTATAAAAACCTTTAATATTGGTCTTTGACATACATCTTCAATCATATCAGTAGTCACAATCACTATCTCACTTCTGAGATAGCGATTTATGATTGTACATTACCTAGAGAAAGCAAATGAAAAAGTTAATGCTCTTACTCACCATAGTTATCTCAAAGACTTTACATTCAAATTTCAGTATCAAACTCTCCTTAATTCCTCTCAGTTATAAATCAATTCCCTTACACAATTCTTTGCTCCTCTTAATCACTTCCTCAAGTTACAAATTAAAGTAATTTAAGCCATCAATCCATTTGTCTATGTGATGCTTTTCCAATCTAACATAATGAGTATTAATTTTTTCAATTTTGGGATTAATTCCTTCATCAATATGCTTAATTGTGTGTACTTGATAGTGTTGCAAATGTGACTTCGGGTATCAAAAGTTACCTGTCAGCCAGTCCTTACAGACACTCTTTCCTTACTGCCACGATGGCACGAGGTCAGTATTGCTGGTTCTCTTTATTAGCCCCTCTTGTTCAAGTGTTAATTTACTGGGCTTTGCATCTGTACTTGGCCGGATGAGCATAAGGACGGAATTCCTAAGTGTCTATTCAGCTAAGCATACTTAGCTTGGCTTTTTAGTTCTCTTTTGCTCTGTCTTGCACTGGCTTGACAAGAACCCTCGTGTATTGAGATAGTCTTTCAATATCGCTGGATGATAGCTTACTGTGTCTGCCAAACACCCTTGCTATCATGCCCTTTGTGTTAGTCTCATTTCGGTCCCAAATGCTATTTATGGAAAGTGTTTAGATTTGCTCATTTGGCATATTTACGGAATGTAGAGATTGGCCTGAACACAATGGGGTTCGTCCCGTGTCCAAATTCGCATTCTAGCACCATTTCATATTTAGTAAGTTTCGAGCTTGTCCCAGAGACTAACTCTTGATACTAAAGGAGGCTTGGGGTGAAAGCCCAAAGCGTGTGTTCCTCAAGAGGGGAGGGAGCAGGGGGGAGGGGGGGCAGGGGCGGGCGGCTGTGGGGGGTTCCAAATGTATAGTTGGGATAGTGGGTACGTCAGGCATGGCCCACCAACCTGAGGTATAGTCTAGCTCCCACTTGCATGCCTATCCTTGTTTTGCGTCTGGCTTGAGTCTAAGCCCAAGCTCTATTCCATGCTAGCTGGTGGAGTACCCATATCCTCGCGTTAGGCCACTGGTATGCTGAAATAGCGCAAAACTCCGTTTAGCTCCATTTTGCTTGCTGGTCCTGGCATTGGGATGTTGGTTGCTTTAGGACTGTTCCAAGTCGCTCCGGGCTCCTGTCCCTTCGCTCCTTGGGCTGTATGCTCAGGGGTTGCTCCGTGGTTCGGTTTTGTCACTCTTTGGCTCCATGCTTGGGAGTTTGGCACCATTCCTTCGTTTAGTGGCCCAAGGCCCTGAACCTTGGGTTCCACACCACATTCCTTTGGACATGTGTCATGTGACATGTGGCATCTGTCACGTGGCATATGAAGGGTTTAGGTTCCGTTTCGTGGTGTTATCCTATGGTAAATCACCATAAGATAAATGGTCAAAACCACGTGCGCTACATTTGGTATCAGAAGATGAGTCTTAGCAAGTACTATTCAATGAGATTGGGCAATTAGTCTCATTGCATATGCAGAGATGAAAACGATGATCCGAGTGGGTACACGTTTGGGTGCTAAGACTTCGCATTCGTTCCTTGGGTATGGATTTGTTTAGTATTTTGTTAGTATGGATTTGTAGTTAGTATTTTGTTCCTTGGGTTTGCCCATAAGGTGTTGAAAAGGGTTATAGCATTTACTTGCTATGGCTTGTTGGTTTATCCGTGAACACTTAGAGTAGATTGTTGGATGGAGAAAATGTGTAGTTGAGGCAATAACATCACTAGCACTTGTGTTAGTGAAAGTGGCATTGTTGTTTGAATGATAAAGAATTTTCCTTAAAGCTTGATTTTCCATGTCATTTTTTTTGTCAGTGTTTTTTGCTTCACATTGGATGTTGAAGGTGGTTGAAGAAGAGTGTTAGTGCAAATGTGGATATCCGAAGATGCGGTCTTCGTGATCAAGCCTTGGATGTTTATTTTGCATTTTTGCGGATGTCGGTGTTGGATGTCGGAAGTATAGGCAAAGATGTTCGAAGCTTAAGCATATTGATGGATCATGAGAATTGGTGTTGAGGTGAACCTATGTGAAGTAGTAGGTAAGAGGAAGTTGGTTGAGTCTTGAAAGTTTGCATTCTTGGATTGAGAGTCATTCTTTCTCTAGGATGGAAATTTTTCCACAAATTTTCTTAGGCTTTTCCAATGGTTGATCTATCAGTCACTTTGCTCGAAAACCATTTCGTTTTTATAGGCTAATACAAACTAATAAAAGGGTTGAAGTTAACTTTGGTTGGCTTAGACCTTAGTAAATAGTTTGTATGGTGTAGCCCGAAAGGGATTCTGACTTTTGGGGCTAAGGCAATTGAGTTGGATAGAGTTTAGAGTTGGTTTAGAAAAGTGGCCATTGCGCTTTTTTAAGAAGGGTGACTCTTATGCCTTTCTTTTGTAGCATTATGCTCGGTGGCAAGTTGCACCTTGCATTTCATTACACTCTATAAGAGTAATGAGCTCTCACTAATCCTGACTTAGTCTTGGTGGTTTTGCACCTTGGCTGAGGATGGTGATGTCCAACTTAGTTGTTTGAGGTTGAGATGTTGGTACCCGTATTATAGCTTTGTCTATAAAGAGGTTATGTACCGATATGAGTCCATTTCATGGTCTTCATTTTAGTTTCGACTAAGTGTTAATCGCATAGCTAGCCTCTTCAAGGCATGCTCAGAGCTAGTGGCTAAATGTTTTAGTGAGTTTATTGTGGTTGTGTTGGATTCGAGTGGTCATTTAGTTTGTGCTTATCTATGAATTTTTATCTCATACCTGGGGTATCACATTCATGTTAGATAAGTATATAACTTAATGACGTGAGTTTAGTGTTTGGGTCTTGTGAAGGCAAGTTGAAGAGCTATTGTTAGTTGCTTTGCAACTAGTGATTGCTTGTAGACTTTGTCAACGATTGTTTGATACTTGCTTTACTCGATGATGATTTAGCAATGATGGGCTTGCTTTACCGGATGGTGTTGCGGAGGATCGTGTCGTTAGACTTACATGAGTTTTTCATGTTGGCATGTCAACTCTACCTCTATCGATATCATTTGGTTACATTTGGTCTATAGTGTTGGATTTCATTGAGTCGTGGATGTGGTGAATCACTCCTTGATGATGTTTTATCTGAAACTGAGTATTGCTGAAGGATTTGTCTCGGATACTAACTCAGTATCTTTGACTTTGGTTAGCTTGGTTGCTATAGAGCTTTGAGTGGTGATTTACTCTTGCTTTCTTATAGCTTTTTTCTGGTGCTGATAGCATTGAAGTGATGCCTTGTTGTTGACATTGTTGATATTGAGATTTGAGTGAAATAACATATCCTTCCAAGGATTGATATTGAGTTTCATTAGTCTTGATGAAGATAGTGTTGATGATTTAGCTTCTTTGTGTTGTTGGCATTCATACATTTGTTAATTAATAACTATGTTGACGTTCAAATGAACTGAATGGCAAGTTGAGTTAGTTGTGTTCTCGACAAGGTTGCTTAGTTAA